TTTGACATGCCTTATTATCAGTGTTTGATCATTACAACGAGACTACCACTAGTAATTAATGTTGAAGTCCAAAAATAAGATATTAATGTTGCACTTGGTATCTTGAGATGGGTTAAATCATTATTTAAATTTACTTAAGTTTATGACAATAAATATAAGCATAATTTCTGGTTGTATGTTGTTCTCTTATTTAGGTTCTCTTGTAAAAATATCTGATAACCTCAATTCAGTACCGATTCTAAACGAAATCAACTTTAAGGGCAAGAAAAGAAAATATAAATATGGAAATAATGAGGCTGATAAGGGTCCAATCAAGAAGAAACAAAATAAGAATGATACTTGTTTCTTCTACAAGAAATCTGGGTATTTAAAGAAGGACTATACTAAATATCATGCTTGACATGTAAAAAGGGAACATTCCTTACTTTGGTTTGTTCAGAAGTCAATTTAACTTCAGTACATAGAAACACTTGGTGGTTAGACTCCGATACAACAACTAACATCAGTGTATCGATGCAAGGTTGCTTAAGCTACCGAAGGCCTAATAATGTTGAGAGAAGCATTTATGTGGGGGACGAAAAATCGATAGATGTGGAAGCTATAGGCATATTTAGATTGTTATTGTGTACTGGATATTATTTGGATTTGAAAGACACTTTTATTGTACCATCATTTAGACGGAACTTAATTTATGTTTCTTATTTGGACAAATCTGGTAATTCTTGTTCATTTCGAAACAATCAGTTTAATTTGTCTTTAAATTCAAATATGATTGGAACTGGTTCACTTATGACTTATGACAATCTATATTTACTTTATACTATAATATCCTATCATGAATCCTTGAATGTGGAATTGCAAGGTACTAAATGTAAAATTGAAAATTCTGGTATATTATGGCATAAACGTTTGGGTCACATCTCTAGAAATAGAGTTGAAAAACTTATGTTAGAAGGGATTCTTGATCCTATTGACTTATCAGGTTTAGATGTTTGTGTTGAATGCATTAAAGGTAAACAAACCAAACTTAAGAGATCAGGTGTATATAAAGCTACGGACGTCTTAGAATTGATACATACAGATATTTGTGGACTATTTCCTATACCTTTATGGAATGATCAACAATACTTCATATCATTCATAGACGATTATTCTAGATATGGATACCTGCGTATCTAATACATGAAAAATCTCAGTTTTTAGGATATGTTCAAAGCATTTAAAGCTGAAGTTGAAAATCAACTCAGCAAAAGGATTAAAAGCATCAGATCTGATCGTGGAGGGGAATTCTAGTCTTATCTTCTATTAATAGTCTATTTAGATTCATAAATCAATCTTTTCGTTATCTCTCTATGCATGATTTTTTGAATACATTAATAAAATTTATCTATAATAAATTAACATTACTTTTTTATGTTGCTAAAATTTCAGATGTTCCTTGTGAAGTTGGGTTTGCAGAGTCAACTGACAATCTTGTCGAGCTAAAAAATCACCTAAATTTTCTCTAGAATACATCACTAAAGTGGAAACATCTAATGAGAATGTTGTAATTGAACCTTGATTTGGTGGGCATTAGACATTTGAACAAAGGGAGAAATCATTTTATGCTGGAAGACTGTAGTAAGGGATGAAAGTAAACAATCAATTGTAGTCTTTTAGTGTCACAACAGATCATTGATACTGCTGGTCATAACATTTCTCCAAAAATAAAAAAGTACAATGTACGCAAACAAATGCTCAACTTGTTCCTTAATTGTTGAGAAAGTGTGCAATCTTTTGTGGTTGTTTGTGTCTATTTTGTTTTTTCTACTAAAACAATAATTGCAAAACCTATCTATCTTCCTTGATTTTATAGGTTTCATTTAAAATTATGTGGTGGGGAACTTGCATTTTTCAAGTTTCATGATTTGTTGGTAAAATGCAGTGTCTAATTAGTTGCCCACTAATTTTCACTGTTTCTTATTTTGACTAGTGATGTTGCTGTTTGAATGGGGAGAAGCAATTACCATCTTTTGTTAGTACTAAATACATCATCAACCAATCTGTTTATTAACAGCTGTGCAAATGGAAGTCGTTTAATGGGCTTAAACAAAGTTAATGTATGCCATGTTTGATCATTTGGAATTCAGCATCTTTCCTCTCACACAGGATTGTGAGCGGAGAGCAATAGGCAGATTGTTCCATCATAAGTTGGTAGATCATCCCTCACCGGTACTTTGAGAAGATAATTTTAGATTCTTCAGTCTCATACTAAGCTTGGAAGGTAAGAACAGACAGCATGACCGGAGACTCCTCAAATCAATGCCCAGCTACAGAGGGAGGAAGAACCAGATATGGCTTTAATTCCTAGAAGAACAGAGGCTCTTCATGCGGATTTTGTTGCAGAGCAAGGATCTTTTCTTTTCATAATTCAACCTTTCTTGCTGTTTGTTGTATTCTCTTTTTTTTTTCATATATTTTTTTCTCATTCTTGGTTCGCTTTTTGTATTGGCGTTAGTGACCATAAACAAAGCAGAAGCATCAGTGTAATTACATAGATTGAGATGAAACTGGGAATCAACCAAAATATTTTCTTTACCTTTAGGTCAGAACCGTGGTGAGACCATGGTGGACATGACAGGCAATGTAGGTACGACCTGGCATTTGTGCCTCAGTAGGTTTACCTTAACATGATTGTGCAGCATATTTTTCATCTCTCATAAATTTTTAGTAGATACACATCAATAAAAGTAACAACATTCAGCAGGCATTCCCATAAGTTTCGTCGAGGTGTTAATAAAAAACCATAAATCTTGTTATAGATGTTGAAAGGAAATTTTATATCATTCTTTTGCTACATGGTTGTAGGTATGTATGATGTAAATATCACTATTCATCTTTCTTTATTTCTCCACAAACATTATATGTATTTCTTCAAACTAAATACAATGAGTTCAAAGTTAGTTTAAACTCGATAGATATTATATGTATTTCTACCGGATGGATCATTCATCATACAGTATGGAGGTCGGATTGAATCAACTAAAATACAAAGAGTTCAACAACAATCAACTTTTATCTTTTGCGATAAATTAATTGATGTGATCTTGCATCCGAAAACCTCTTCATTGTAGCTTTTCCTTTACAGCTTGCACGAGATAGAGAATGCTGTTTGCATGAAAGCCGCGGAAAGAAGACCATGGAGAACAATAAAGCGACTAACTGGGAGCTTGCTTGGGACGATGGAGATTCTTGATTTGTTTCTTGTGCTTATGGTAAGGTTGATTACAAGAGTGTGTTGGTGGTATTGGTGGCACAGCCTTTGGAATCCTCCCAATTTGGAGATGGTGATGCCCTGTATTCTTGCGTGCAACTTTCTCGAAATGAAACAGAATAAAGTGCTTGATTAAAGGTACGCGTTACAATGGCGAGGTACGTCCTCGTGGTCGCGTGCGTTCGATGGTTGAGACAAATGCCAAGAGCAATATAGAGCTCCACTAAAAGGTGAGGCGAGCGAACTCCGAGACTCCCACCCGACATACTACACACAAAGAAGAAGAAACGGAGGAGTGAGATCTGAACCACACATGGCGGTGTCGTCCGATTTGAAGTTCGTACTATTGGAAATACTACCGACGCCTGAACTGATGGCGCAAGGACGGGAGCTCCGTATCCAAAATCACCTGGAGATGGTTCACGATTGCATCTGCGCCCTCAATGCGGTGATCTTAGATGCCCAGATGCGAGCGTTGAAGGAGCCGGAGATGGAGGAGTGGGTGAACGACGTCGGGATAGCCGTCGCGGACGTTGAAGACCTGCTCCACAGCATCCTGGGCTGGCAACCGAGGGGAGCGGCGGCATCCGACCTCTTGCCGTGCTCCTTCCCCAACGTCGACGGAGTAGCATCTCGCCATGTTATTCTACTAGAGATGGAGGAGAAGGCACGCAGGTTGAATTACCTCGTGAGGAGAGGGTCTTCGCTATGCCTTCGAAAGGAGATGATGGATTATACATATCCACGACGAGAAGAAGAAGAAGAAAAATAAGAGTACTTCAAAATCTTGAGAGAAGAGATGGTGGGAAGAGACGACGAAGTAGAAAAAATCATAGATAAAATCGGTCGGAAGCGGCGACGACCGAAGCGGCGACGACGATCCAACTATGTGCATGATGATGATGGGCCTTGGTACTTCCTCCTATCCGGCCCATTTTTGGTGGGAAAGACATCCATCGCTCGCATGGTTTACCACCACCCATGGGTCTGCGAGCACTTTGATCATCGTGTCTGGATTGATGAGTCCAAAGTATCCTCTTTCGACGCCATGTGGATCATCAAAGAATTTATGAGATCGATAGCTGGGGAGCCGTGCGAGGACGTCTGGCTGTTTTATGATCGATTCGGTGGAAGCCACAGATACTTAATCATCCTAGATGACTTCTTTATTGGGTTGGATGAGCAGGACAAGTTATTTCAATTGGAGCACTTTTTCCTTCTCATGGGTAAACCGGGCAGCTTAGTGATGCTCATCGGTGATTACAATCTCGATGATATATATTTTTTACGTCCACGACCCGGTTTCTTAAGACACTATGTTAACACTATATCAAAGGACAATTGGGTACAACTATTCATGAGACACGCACTGAGCCATCCTGATCAGGCCGGGGTGGAGGAGAAAAGGATGCTAGTTTCATTCGCCAAGAGACTTCATCATTATTTCAATTTGTATCCTCTGTCTGCTAAGATGTTGGGATCGATATTTAGATACACTGAGACGAGTCGATGGCAAGAAGAAAAAGATGCTCTGTATAGGACGGAGCAAATAGAATCCAATCAGCATTTGAATTTGATGTTCCTACATTATCTTTCTCCAATATTTGCACGACAATGCCTGTATCAGTTGTTGATTCCACAGGATTACATCTCCGGCCATGCTGACTTGTTGCACGTGCTCGCTGCTGAAGGCATTCCACGCAAAGAGAAGACAAAGCCTACAACATCCACAAAATTGATGAAAAGTGCCTCGGAGCGACTTAACTTCGGGACGATGGTCGGTCGAGATTCCACAATCCCACAATAGTATTTTAGTTTGATTCTCCTACATTATCTTTCTCTAATATTTACACGATCGTACTTGTATCAATTGTAGATTCCACAGTTTGTCATTCCCCCCCTTCGCAACTTTTTTCTCAAAGAGACGACAAAGAGTACAATAAAAATGATAAGCAATGCCTTGGAGCGATGCTACTTCCGGATGAGGGTTGGTCGAGATTCTACAATCCCACAACAATGTCTTCATCTACACTTGCTCGTGGATTCCCGTACATCCGCATTTCCCACGAGCTTATCTGCAAAAGTAAACAACAAGTTGAGAACCCTATCTTTGCATAGGGAGGAGGAGATGGTTCTTAAACAACAGCCATGCCAGATCACAGATATCCCGGCAACCATGTTTGCAAGCCTTATACATCTGCGCATCTTACATTTAGCTGCTACAAGGATCCAACAACTTCCTCACACGGTTGGCAAGTTACTAAACTTGAGATACCTCAACCTTTCTAAGAGTGAAATCCAGGTACTTCCTGTATCCTTATGTAACCTTCGAAATTTACGAGTTCTAAATTTAGCTTGGTGTGAAAAGCTTTGGAGACTACCTAGACGGATCCACAATCTTAGGAGTCTACAGATCATGAAGTTAGCTTTTTGTGCAAGGCTTCAAAGGTTGCCCAAATCAATCACCGGCCTTGCGAATCTACAAGAATTAGACCTCGAAGGTTGTCATGACCTCATCGAATTACCCGAGAATTTTCGTAACCTTAGAAAATTGACATACCTGAATATAATCAAGTGTCGCTCTTTGACACGAATGCCCGATGAATTAGAGCAAATGCATAACCTCCAAATGTTATTTGGATATCCGATTAGTACAATCAGTAGTATTAAAGATGTCATCTCAGAGTTGCAATCTCTAAGAGGTCTCGAAAAACTTGATTTGTGCAATCTCCAAATCGTCTCAAAACTAAAGGATGCTTCCACTCCTCCAATGCTGTTGCAAGATGTAGTACCAAAGCTCAAACATTTGGCACTGCATTGGAAATGGTATAATATGAATGATGTCGAGATAGCTTCTGATGTCATATCGTTGCAGGTACTCGAGGGCTTCCAACCTAATATATATTTGATAAAACTAGAAATCATTTCATATGTTGGTAAGGACTTCCCCGTATGGATGAATGATATGACTTCAAATTTCTATAATTTGATGGAGATCAGATTGGTCAATCTCCAGAGATGTGAAAGGCTGCCACTACTTGGGGAACATGTTAATCTCAAGATTGTTGAGATAAGCGGCATGGATTTAATCACTGTTGCAACATTTCATACTCGTTATACTTGGAGAATGAGAAGTTTAGATAAACTTATTTTCTCTGAAATGCCTCGGCTAGAAAAATGGGTAGGACCAACGAGAGGAAGTAATTTAGACTTGGACATTGAAGAATTGACACTGATGCAATGCCCAAAATTGAAGACATGGGAGTTGTACCCGAGGGTGAGAAAGTTGAACATTTGGTTGAACAACGAGATGCTATGGCGTTGTCAATCCGCGGGTTGGCAGAGACTCATCAGCCGTATTGACGAGTTGACGATTGTTGGATGCCAAGATCTGATGTGTTTGCCACCGGTTTTACGGTCGAATCGACGGGTCAGCAAGTTGACCATTATTAGATGCAATAAATTGATCTCTTTACCAGATTGGCTGGTGGAAATCGGATCTCTAAAATCTTTGTTTATATCTGGTTGCACTGAGCTGTCATACATACCACCGCAACTCAAAACTCGGTCAGATCTTCTACTACAACATAGTGGTTGTCCCAAGCTACGGTTCTAATGGTTTCCACTTGATGTCAACCCCATCTGAATCTTCAGCATTATTCCCCCTCTTGCTCTAATCTCTGCAGCTACAACCTGGTATCCATACAAATATTTTAGCTCTTTGCTATGCCCTCTTTATACTTGTTTATCTGATCTCTGTTTGTTGCAATATAAATGAAGTACTCCATATGCATGCGTGCATGCATGATGTTGTCCCATCGATGGTGTCACGCTATGCATCGAGAGAGAAACAAATGAACAATCGTTTGATATTCTGCGATAATAAACTCCTATGCAATTGATTCTGTATGGGAATGTGTATATGAAATTGTACCTATTTGATGTAATTGATATAGTTGATTAAACAACATCATCGATGTCTATTGTTGTTGTTTATAAATCATCTATTGTTATAATTGGTCTATCTATTGCTGTGGTTGTTGACTACAAGCTAAGAACATGTGTCTAAGTGGTTGAAATCCTTTGGGCGGTTGGATCCGAATAGACCTTAACGTAGAAAACCACCTTCTAGAAAATAACGTGGTCTACCTTACCGATCTTGGTTTCGAGTGTTCCTTTGTGGTCTCAAAGTCAAGTCCTTTTAGGATATTATGTTGTGGTTGGATAAGTACGCGGCGCATGTCAACTTACTGGAGCTTAACGAGCCTTCATCGCCTCAGCTGTGCTTTGCTCGTTTATTCTTTTCAACTTCTCTTCCTTCGGAGCTGAACTAAAATGGAAAGAATAAACTATATATGGAGACCAAGTAGAAGCCGCATGGCGTACATGAATGTCCGTTCGAAGTAGTGGCCGCTCGGGTCTTCTATAGATGAAGCAACTCGAGCCGGACCTCACAGTGAATGTAGTGTACGAAAATAGAAGCAAATACTACCTACAGTCGTTAGATCTGATATGGCTTAAGGTGCATTCTACATGTATGGCGATGCCGATCTCTGCCGAGCTGAGAAGATGAAGCAGAAGGTGGTCAGGAACGGAAGAGGCTCCGCAGGATCTCGGCCTGTGCGCCGTTCACGTCCATGGTTGCCACCAGCTCCGACAGGCGGTCGCTGAGTTCGTCGACGTCCCGGTGAAGGCTCTTAATGTACTCGCACGTCTCCTTCAGTAGCGATGCAGCTGAAGCCTGCACATCATCGAGGTCTCAGCTCACATAACACGCAGTACAAGTCGGGTGTTTGAGATACAGGAGACACACTTACTCCTTTCCTGCTACGATGGTGTGTCTCGGGAAGACCGGATTGGAGCCTAGCGATGAGCTCTCTGAGCTCCTCATCTGAGGCACTGGGCCTTCTGCTGGCCATCTACTAAAACCAGCGGATGAGGATCAAAGCCAGAAGTGTGGAAGGAGAGGGGAAAGCTTGGTGAACTTATAGGATCAAGAGATCGATCGACAGTGAGGCCATGTGGAGGCGCACATGTCCTCCTACGTGGTAGTGGAGTGCCAAGTGTGAGAGCAAGCGAGGCGAGGGATGCGGACACCTGGGAAACAGCCACGTGATGGGGGCATGGGAGGCACCCCATGACTCGTCCGCCACCACCGGCCGCCGGTCCATTAATGCAATAATGGAATGCGTGTTTCGAGGAGGCGGACGAGGAACCTTTACATCTGTCTTAGTCCTTCCTTCTCATGACAATGGAGAGTGAAGAAGGGACGACTGTGGTCCTGAGAAGAGATCAGGCAATTGCCAAGGGAGAAGAAGCGTTTGCCAATTGATTGATTGCACAGCAGCAGCAGTTGCATGTGACGAAGAGAGACGTGTGTGTGTGTGTGTGCGCTTTGACTCCCGTGTTGCCAACTACGTCCACACAATGCACGTCCTTGTCAAATCCACACAATCACTAGCTGTTGTGTTGCATCTTTGAACTCATGCATGTGGATAACATGAAATGGATGAATGTTTGATTCATTCAACGTTTTCTTTAGGTGTTTATACCACGTATATAGTATAATGTGTTGGAAATTTTCATGAGTCAAATAAATAGAATAGTCTAAATAAATAGAATAGCCTTATATGACTAAGAAGAATAATGTTAACTTATAATTTAAAATGAATTGATGTTTGATATGATATATGTTAATCTTGCCACCGTAGATAGTGGCAAGAGTGTGAAAGACTAAACGTACCACAACGAGATATAGGTCTGAATTCGAGTGGGAGAAATGTCATGCCTTCAAAGCAATCCAACATGCTTGGGCCGGAGGCATTTTTCCACCTTGCTTCGGGCATAGGCCTTCCTCGCCGTCGAGCTGCTGCCGTCGACTACTGGTCCTCCAATAATGACGTCAATCTGCCTCTTGACAGGTCCCCTGGGGCACGGAGTTGCTTCTCGGGGTTCCTTGAGGTAGCACCCGAGATGACCTCTTCTGATTAGCTCCTCGATTTGATTTTGGAGGTCATGACAGTCTTCCATGTCATGGTCGTAGTCTCGATGGAACCTGTAATATTTAGACCGGTCCTTGTGAGTGGCCTTCAGGGGATTGGGTTAACGCAAGAGGCCCTTCTCCCTGATTTGGAGGAAGGTCTCTGTACGAGATGTATTTAGAGGTAGAGGTGGGGGCCTCGAGAGTAGTTGCTCGTGTCGGTCTGGCCTCAGCAAGGTTGCACTGGGGCTACTGAGGTCGTTCCTCAGGATTCCTCTATCCTTAGCCTCTTCCCGTCCATGCGCTTTCCCGCCACTAGGACTTCGGCAGCGATGTACTGGTTGGCGCATTGTAGCATCTCGGGGATGGTCACTGGTGGTTTTTCAACCAGTGATTAGAAGAACCTTGAAGGTATCAAGCCCATCAGAAACGCTTGCATGATTAAAGAAGGATGAGCATCCGGGAATCCTCGGATTTCAATGGCAAAGCGTGCCACGAACTGAGAGAGTGACTCATTTTCGCATTGGGATAACGCTAGTAAGGTGGCCACCTGGGACGTATGCTGGTCAGGAAGTTCTGCTCGTACTCCCTCGCGAGCTGGTCGAAAGATGAGGACGGGCGTAGCCGGCTGAACCATGCCCACGCCGGCCCCCTGAAGGTGGTCGAGAATGCCCAACACATTAGGGCGTCAAAGGTGTCATAAAGGGCCATCTATGCCTGAAACACGATGGCGTGTTCCGCCGGGTCAGAGCCGTCGTCGTACGTCTCTAGTATTGGTAACCTAAAGTTGAGTGGCATAGGCTTGTCCTGTATTTCTTGAGCAAACGGGGATCTGCCCGAGCTGCCCTCGCTTGTCTCGCCGTGCGACTTCTAGAACTCACGTTGGAATTTGTCGAGGCGTCAGTTGACTAGGACAACTGGACCCTGAACGAGTCGTCTACCGAGTCTGATATGGTATCAAGCTCGGTGTGGGGTGGAGCGATTCGACAGGGTGTGCTTGGCTTGGATAGGCCTCTCGAGTTTACTGTCTGCTCTTGGGCTTTGCCCATCTCGAGCTGCTCCTTGCTCGGCCTTTCCTGCATCGGGTCGGTTGGGGGGGTCGCGAGTTGCACAATTTGTGGCATGAGCAGGACAATCATCTGCATCATTCCTGTTAAGGCTTGTACTTGCTTAACCAGGCCGAGGAACGCCTCGGGCGTAATGACCAAGGTTCCTGTTGTGTCCGGGGCGAGGAAACCCCAGATCATTGAACAGGCGATCTAGCATCGTGGTCAAGATTCCCCCATCTCTGAGGACAGGGAGGAGCTGATCTCCGAGCCTGACAAAAGGGTGACCGGCCGGTGGAGAGCTCCTACGGGGTACTCCTGCGACATGGCCCTTCCTCTAGCGCCAAAAATATTGATGAACTGATGCGCCATGACTGATGAGTCAGCACGACCTGATCCACGGGTTGATGTCAGGAGTCTTTGGTGGGTTGAGCTGGTTGTTGAGGTTGGTCACGCCCTTAGGACAGGGCGTTGGCACCGGAATATCGATTGACGTCTCTCCGTCAGGATGCTGGTAGTTGGCTCTTGGTTGCAACGCTGGTGGACGGCTCTCAGTCTGGATGCTGGTTGGCGGCTCTTGGTTGGGATGCTGGGGGATGGCTCTCTATCTGGATGCTAGTTGGCATGCCGGGAGGAAAAAACACCTCTCTCGATCGAGATTATCTCGCCTCGGGGGTGACCGCTTTCCTGCATAGAAGGCCCCCGTCGAGTGGTTACCGACTGTGGCCCCTCGACAAGCAAGTTAGCATTTGGTCTCTATTTTTCACCTCCTCCTTGGCCATATGCCGACCAAGGGTTCTTATACTACTATACGAGGGTCGGTTGTACGTGAGTTTCGCGTGACAACCGATCCTAGGGGGGAGGAAGTACCTCAACGATGCCGCCATTCTGAGTTTTCTGAGACAGGACATACTGAGGAATGCCTCGGTATGGGTCCTGGCCGGCGCGTCAGAGAGCTCCTCCTGCTGACCTGGTGATGGCGTGACGGGGCGTATGTGGTGACATGGCCGGTGCCCAACATATACCGTATAAGGATTCACATGAAACAACCCATGTGAGGTGATCAATTAAACACGCAAGACAAATGTCGAGGTCGCGCTGCATTTTGAAGTCTAAAAATATTTTAGCTACAAGGAGGAGATACATGCCGTGTGAAACGAGAAAGTAATGCGTAATGGGTGGTAGAATTTTGTAGTCAAATCTAAAATGTAGGTTTGAGTGGGACGTCGAGAGCACGAAAACATGTAATTGACAAGTTTAGGTAGATTAAACATGTCGATAATTAGAACTATAGGAGGTGGTAGAGAAGGAAATGGGGGAGGGTGGTAAGTAACGGCGGCGGCAGGCAGGTTGGCAGGCCAAAATGCATGCCTCCATCGGACGTGATTGCTGCGTGCATGAGCTTGTCTCTCCTCGTGGCCACCTACATGTGCTCGTGTTTCGTGGCTACCTTAATCATAGACCGCATGCATGCACGTAGTACGACCGATGACGATGACCGAGAGAGGTAGATAGATAGAGAGAGAGAGAGAGAGAGAGAGAGAGAGAGAGAGAGAGCATTTTACGTGAAAGGAAAAAGAAATAGATGTGATAGGATTAATTTTGATGACCTGAGGAGATCGATCAGACATAATTTTTCAATATTATCGTGTATGAAAAAGAAAAAGACGTTGAGAATTAAATATTTATATCTTATATCTCTTATTTCCTTAGATAAAAGATTTTATCGAAGAATTTTCTTTTCAAATGCATAAAATACTTGTATCACTTATCTCTTATACTTTTGTATCTTAAATCTCTTATTTCTATCGGCGAAAGATATTCTTTGTTCGTTCATCATGGACAAAATAATGTCAATGATTGACTTAAGAGCTTTAGCTTAATTCTATGAGATCAAAATGTAAAAAAAAAAAATAGAAACATGCCTAGAGATAAGTTTTATATATTAGTGATATTATCATCATCAATTTAATGAGGGAGTGTTGCCTTGTTGATGTGGTTCACACAATTTATGCGTCATGCATAGTTTGTGCATCATGAACACCAAGTTGATTGAGCTGCATAGGTCGAATTAGATTTACCGAAAACAATGATCATAATCTCTCTAAAAACTTGACATTTCCAAGAATCGCAAGAGTTGATAGTTGCACCGAAGAAATCTATGCATACGTAGTGTTATACAACTTAGAAGAAACGTGATCTTATTCACGAATAGTTCTTATCCAGGGCCTTTTGCTCTGATATCAATCATATCTAATGAGATAAGTTAATTGTAGTACGACTATTAACCTTCGGATGCGAGACTAAGGATATTACAACATGATTCTGATTTTTCTTTTGCCTGAGATACTTAAATTCATGCATCTTCATGTAGGCACACCACAATTCCTACATGGTGTTTTTGCTCTCATATTACATAACATGGATGAGGGGCCAACCCTAACATGATGCATGGTTGATGTTATTTATGGCGATGATGACAGGTATGGATGGCTACAAAATTAAATCGCATGACAAGTATGTAAGGTGGTCTGTCAGAGGAATTTGGACGACAAATTCCCGTATTTATAGGCAGGATTGATTGATTGATTAATTAATTGATGTGGTTGGTGTGCATATCATTTGTCCTTAATGCATATTATGTTGGTTTCATGCTTAATAACCTCGAAATAATGTGTTTAATAAGCTACTAAACTCATATGTTTGTAGTGGCCAAATCAGACTCTATCATCTATGACGAATGTAGCATGAACTATTGAGAGGAAGGTCATGGAGGGGCAACCTACCCAATTAAATGCTTGCTACTGACCATGTGCATGATAAGAATGATCAACATCATAAGAATGGGCAATGTGATTTTTCAAATATGAAAATTTTAAAATAATTAAGAAAGAAAAACAAAATAATGCTTAG